GTGCCTCATTTAATTCACACAACAACTCTGTGAGATGGGTATTGTTATCACATCCATTTTTTCCAAATGGAGAAAGTGAATCATGGTCAAACCAGCCATCAATTGTAAACTGTCTGATTCCAAAATCTTCCCTGACTGCATTATTGCATACAAAACAAGCACCTGGGAGCAGAAGGAGAAGGTAAGCAGATCTTAGATTCGGATCTTAATAACTTGTTTATTCTTTTGCTAAAAAAAAAAAAAAACAAAAAAAAAAAACTAAAGGGTATAAAAAAACTAAAAGGATATAGAAGCTAGTGAGATAAAAGTAATTTTAGTGAAGTTATTAAAAATTGAAGGCAATTTTAAAATTAAATTCCTCTATCTGGCATTCAAGGTGTGTGTGTGTGTGTGTGTGTGTGTATGTGTGTGTGTGTGTGTGTGTGTATGTGTTCAAAGCCTTTTTATTTGGGAATAATTTTAGACTCAGAGCAAGTTGCAAATATAAAATGGAGAATTCCCATATAACTTTTCCTCAGCTTCCCCCAACATTAATATCTCATGGAACCATAGTTCATTATTAAAACCAGGTAACTGACATTCATATGTTCTTGTTTTTTAAACATAATTGATTTTAGAGAGGAAGGGAGAGGGAGAGAAAGAGAGAAAGAAACATCAATGATCAGCTGCCTCCTGTACACCCCCTACTGGGGATTGAGTTCACAACCCGGCATGTGTCCTTGACCAGAATTGAACCCAGGACCCTTCAGTCTGCAGGATAATGCTCTACCCATGGTAGGCAAACTGTGGCTCGTGAGCCACATGCGACTCTTTGGCCCCTTGAGTGTGGCTCTTCTACAAAATATGCCCTAGGCGAGTATATTTTGAAGACGTGGCATTAGAAGAAGTTTAAGTGTAAAAAATGTGGCTCTCAAAAGAAATTTCAATCGTTGTACTGTTGAAATTTGGCTCTGTTGACTAATGAGTTTACCCACCACTGTTCTAGGCCAACTGAACCAAACCAGCTAGGGCCTATGTTGTTTTTGAATGTTATGTTTTGTGGAAATGTATATGCCTCATTTTCTAAAATTGGTTAAGATTTGTACATGTGCTAAACTGTTGCTAGGGAACCATTACTTGAAACTACTAGTCAAATATCTTCAGGAGAGAAAGCGTAAGAGTTCCCAAAGATATTTTTTTGTTTTGCTTTTTTTAATTAAGCAACTGAAACTATAGAGTTATGCATATGAAAAGCAACAGTATCATATTCATGGATTTTTAGACATGGAAGTGCTCCTTAAAATATTGAGTATAACCCCTCATTTTATCAAATCATATAAAATGCTGAGAGATGCCCTAACCGGTTTGGCTCAGTGAATAAATCATTGGCCTGCGGACTGATAGGTCCCAAGTTCGATTCAGGTCAAGGGCATGTGCCTTGGTTGAGGGCAGATCCCCAATAAGGGGTGTGCAGGAGGCAGCTGAATTGGTGTCTCTCTCATTGATGTTTCTAACTCTCTATCCCTCTCCCTTCCTCTCAATGAAAAATCAATAAAATATACTTTAAAAAATGCTGAGAGATTTGTCCATCATCACACAGTGCTTTGACCTGAATTAAATTTCATGTATTTCTAACCAGCCTGCTTCCCATTACACCCTACTGTCCTCAAAAGGATGTATTCATAGACTGACCTCTGAAAAGAAGCACAAAGCCACAAAAGAATCTAATTTCAAAATTAAACCAACCGGGTTTAGGTTAAATATCAGTGAGAGAGTTGTTAATTACACAGGATATTATAAAAAACAAAGTTTTCAGCCAAAACTGGTTTGGCTCAGTGGTAGAGCTTCGGTCTAAGGACTGAAAGGTCCCAGGTTTGATTCCGGTCAAGGGCATGTACATTGGTTGTGGGCACATCCCCGGTAAGGGGTGTGCAAGAGGCAGCTGGTCGATGTTTCTCTCTCATCGGCGTTTCTAGCTCTCTATCCCTCTCACCTCCTCTCTGAAAAAAATCAATAAAATATATTTTTTAAATGTTTTCAGTTTTTAATTCTACATTTGGTAATGTTTAAATTGGCTATTTTCATTGAAAGTAATTTTTGACGAGTAAGCTGAACTATATTAACTAAATTTTAGTCTGATAAAACCACAGGGAATCGCTGAAATGTGGCAGGTGGATACACAACATGCTGAACCAATTATCCGAAGACAAATAAAATCTATGCAAATTAAACCGGCAAATCTACATCTAAATCTACACTTTTATTCAAAAGTACCATTTTTAAGCCACTTAGTTTCTGATTTTTCTCTCTTGCCTGAATTCTTTCTTTTTAATTTTTTAAAAGTTTTGTTTTGTTTTTTAGTTGTTTTTTAAAATATATTTTTTTTAAATCATTGATCAGCTGCCTCTTGCACACCCCTACTGGCATTGAACCCAGGCATGTGCTCTTTTCTGGAATCAAACCTGGACCCTTCAATCTTCAGGCCAAGGCTTTATCTACTGACCCAAATCAGTTAGGGCTCTCTTGCCTTTATTAGTTTATATTAACCCAAATCTTCTTTGAGCTATTACTTATAATCTATATAAAATGGGCCTATTACTTATAATCTATATAAAATGGGCCTATAACCAACTAAACTTTTTCATATTATTCTTCAATATATATTTTCTCACCATTATGAAGAGCACTTTAGGAAGAAGCTTATGTTTAATGATTTTTCTTGTCCGGGCTGGCCATAGAACAGGTGTTCAGAAAATAAGCCCAAAATTATTTTGACAGAGGTAAGGCATGGAGGTTTTATGTGTTTTAGTGAAAAGCACTTTATTCCATATAAACTCTGAAAATCTTTTATCAAGACACAACAGAAAAGTAATATTCTGAAAGGGTCAATGCAATAGGACTAAGCATCTAACAATGAATCATCAGTAAGTTATGCACAGAGTAGCTCTACCAAAGTTACCTCCCACTGACTAATGCTCACTGCTTCAGAAGGTTGGTGAGAAAAGTTCTGGAGTAAACTTTAGAGAAAATCATTTCCAGCCCGGCCGATTCTTCCAGTGAGTTTCATGACCTCGGGGAAGATCCATCATTTCTTTGGGCTGGAATTAGGATTGATTTCTAAAGTACTTCTAGCTTTAAAATATTATGATTTTATTTATGTTCTAAAAGCAGCCTTTACTTGTCCAGGGGTTACGAGGAATTTAGTTTATAGCAGAGCTTAGAAAATCAAATGTTTTAGATTATTTCAGTTCAATATAACCTAATCTTTGATTATTTCAGTTTCAATATAACCTAACCTTTATCTAAAGTTAAGTTGTAAAACACTATTTCAGACCTAAAAACTAAGAAAGGAGAATTTGATGGTTGAAAAAACACAGAAGCTGATATCAGATGACTCAAATTTAAGACCCTGCATGATCCTTACAAGTTCTCCGAACTTGAGGAAACTGTTTTTACTTTCTCTTGTTTTCTTATCTATAAACAAGTACAGGTGGTGATGGGAGGGTATTATGGCAGTAAATATTCTTTAAAGACTTTTTTTTATTATATTATAAGAAAATGGTATTACATTTCAACACAACCCCTGTCTGAAGAAAGAAGGATAAAGAAAACTAAGGATTAAATATTATAGTGAAAATAAAGAATATGGGTCTGAATCAGTTACAGCTCCAAAGGGTATGGGGTGTGGGGTGTCTTATAATTTCCTAAAGAACAGTGGCTTGAGGGTGAAACTAGTAATAACAGAAAAGCCAGACCACAGGGAATGAGTTGGAAAGCACTCCCAGGAAGCAAATCTCTGTGAGTAAATTTTAGTCTTTGCTATGGACCCAATGTTTGTGTGCCCCCAATACTCATATATTAAAGGCCTAATTCCCAATGTGATAGTATTTGGAGATGGGGCAAATGGGAAGTGACAGTCATGAGGGTAGAGCCATCCTGATGGAATAGTGGCCTTATAAGAAGATGCAAGAGAGATGATCTCTCTCCACCACTCAAGGACAGCAAGAAGGCAGTTGTCTGCAAGGGAGCTCTTCCCTAAAACCAAATCAGTTGGCACCTTGGCTTTGGTCTTCCCAGCCTTCAGAACTCTGAGAAATAAATTTTTCTTGTTTAATCCAAGCAGCCTATGATTGTTCAGGCAGCTCAAGCTGACAAAGACAGTCCTCCACTGAGACAGCCAACGCCTGTTCTTTTTCATCTAATAATTTCAAATCTAGCCCAGAATTTTCTTCCAAGGTATGGATAACATACCCATTTTCTTTTTTTAACTGAATTTATTTGGGTGACTTTTGTTAATAAAATTATATATAGATTTCAGGAATTTTTCCTTAAAAAGTTAAAAATGGAACTCCCATTTGACCCAGGAATCCCACCTCTAAGATTGTATCCCAAGAAACCAGAAACAACAATCAGAAAAGATATATGCATCCCTATGTTCATAGCAACACAATTTACAATAGCTAATATTTGGAAACAACCTAAGTGCCCATCAGCAGAGGAATGGATTAAAAAACTGGCACATCTACACAATGGAATACTATGCCACTATAAAAAAAAAAAGAAGGAACTTTTAGCTTTTGCAACAGCATGGATGGAACTGGAGAGCATTATGCTAAGTAAAATAAGCCATTTGGAGAAAGATAAATATCATAGGAGTCACTCATGTGAGATATAATGATCAACATAATTTGATGAACAAAAATAGATCCAGAGATAAATGACAGGGGAAGTGGGGAGCTGGAGGGTTAGAGAGCAACCAAAAGACATGTATGATGCATATTAGCATAACCAATGGACACAGATACTGGGGCAGTGGGGGCTGGCCCAGGGTGTGAATGGCCGGGTGGGTTTGAGGATGGGGGGTCAATTGGGAGAAAAGGAGACATATGTAAAACTTCAGGTAATAAATAAATAAATAAATAAATAAATAAATAGATAGATAGATAAATAAATAAATCTTAAAAATGATTACAATTTTTTCTTACTATAAATTATTATTTTGCCACTTAAAAAATCCTTTCGTACTCTCTTCAGCAGCACATATACTAAAATTGGAATGACACAGTGATTAGCATGGCCCCTGCTCAGGGATGACACACAAAAAGGAAGCATTCCATATTTTTTTGAAGAGGATAAAGTGGGTCAACTATATGGTGACAGAAGACTAGACTTTGCGTGTTGAGCACACAATGCAATATACAGATTATGATGCATTGTAGAACTGTACACTTGAAACTTATATAATATCAAACAGTATCAAACTAAAAAGAAAGAAGAAATCACCTGGCTATGGACACTCTTTTATGCTTAAAACATTTGAAGAATCCAATATTAGTATCCTCAGTATTACCTGATGTTTTCACTTTTTAAATAAGTTTACTGGAGTTTAGAGTTGCAAATAAAGTTCACCTATTGTATTCTGAAATCTCTGAGAACACTACTGGGTACATTGAACACAAATACAGGACTATCTACCCTAACATCCACACCAATTACCTTCTAACATGCTAAGTAATTTACTCCTTTAGGATAAAAGTCAGTTTTTGAGGAAGACTGTGCCATAAAATTCAGCTTGATTTAAATTAAATCTTAAGTGATTTGGTGAAACGCAACATAATAGTGTTTTTAGAAACAAAAAATAAAATTTTATTAAAAATTATTTGAATAAAGTTGTGTCTGTTATCATAATTCAATTTGAAACAATCTTTTATTCTCAATGGGTCATTTTTTTGTATCCTGCTGCAAATTAAAAACAAGTGGGAGAAAAATAATATTATAAAATTAATCCACTGCTTAAAGCAAGGTACCTGTAAATAGACTTATTTACTTTTGCTTAATAATTTCTTTTGTGGTAGGATTTCAAACCAGGTGATTGGATTTATATAATACTTTTAGTTGAATTAAGAGCAAATTGGGTCAATTCTATTATATGAATTTTCCTTAAAAAGAAAACTAACATTTTTTTAAAAGTTACCAATTAAAACTAGTACTCAGAGTAAGTTTCAGAAAAATGTTAAGAATTAATTAACTCCTATAGTCTAAATAGGAGCAGATTATGAACTGCAAAAACAGAATCTGCCAAACCTGTGCCTGAGGCATTTCAAATATAAGAGTGATAATAAGTAGTCAGAGAAAGTTTTCTTAAATTAGTCCATTTATATTTGGATTTGGGAAGGAGAAAGCATTATATTTTTTCATTGTACTATGTTAAAAAAAGAAATGTCAATATATTTTAACTATTTTAAAAGTCTGAAAGTACACTTGACCATTGATATAGATATAGATATAGATATAGATGATATATAGATATATATAGATAGATATAGATATAGATATAGATATAGATATAGATAGATATAGATATATCCATAGATATAGATATAGATATAGATATAGATATAGATATAGATATAGATATAGATATAGATATAGATAAAAGCCAATCAACTGGTACGCCTGGAAGACCAGAATGACCAGTCACTATGACTCCCACTGCAGCCCTCAAATGCCCCCCACCCCGATCGGGGGCAGAACTGGCTGAGGGGAGGGGCTGTGGGTGGTTGGCCGGCCAGCCCTGCCCCCGATCTGTCCCCATTGGGGTGAGCCAGCCAGACCCCAACCATGCACAAATTCATGCACTAGGTTTCTAGTAAATATAGATATAGATGAAGAAATAGATAATGATAGATATAGAGATAATAGAGATAGAGATAAAGATAGAGATAGATATTCTAGAATGTAGCCTAAGAGTGAATACAATGCAAAGTAGAAAGTATTCTCAACACAGCAGCCACAGTAACCCCTTTAAAATGTGAGTCAGATCCTGATGCTCCTATGCTCAAAATCTTGCCATGGCTCTTCCTCACTCAGAATCAAAGCCAAACTCTTTAAAGGGAACTTTAAGGCCTTTTGTGATCTGTCTCCCTCTCCCCCCACTCCACCCCAATACCAATACCTTTCCCAACCCACAGCAGACCCACATGGTGCCTGAGACTTCTCCTCCTCTTTCCCTCCTCTTACAGCCTTGTCACCCCTAACTGCTCTCCCCTGCAGGGTTGATCGCCTCCAACTGCCCTCCCTTGCAGGCCTGGTGCCTCCTAACTGCCCTCCCCTGCTGGCCACCTTATGGTGGCCATCTTGTGTCCACATGGCGGCAGGATTTTTGACCACATGGGGGCAGCCATATTGTGTATTGAAGTGATGGTCAATCTGCATATTACTCTTTTATTAGATGGGATATAGAAGATAAGCTTCATGAAAATAAGAATTTTTATGTTTTATTCTCAAACACCTTGAAAAGTGCCTGGGAGTAAGCATTCAGGACATATGTGTTTAATGAATGAAATATTAAGTCCATGATTTTTCTCCAATAGAAAATTAAGTTTGTGGGAGAAAAACATACCCTGAATCAGGACTAGAAAAACTAGAAAGAATATAGAACCATAGGAACGACTATGAAAGGAGTTGGCTTGGAGTGACTGTAAAAAAAAAAAAAAAAAAAAAAAAAAAAAAAAAAAACCTCTAGAATGAAGAAATTTAAAAACTTGTGATTAGCCAAACTGGGCTTTTTCTAGAATTCTTTAATTTCTTATCTACATTCTGTGTTTTATATTAGGAAGACTTCAGTAATATTTTTCACACATTTTCTGTGGAAGTATTGCAGATGGCTTCTGAGAGTAAATGAGGAAAATGAGGCTATATCCATTTGGCCACAAACCAGCAATCCAAGTATTTGAGGCAAGAGGCCCTAGAGTCAATGAACCATTGTGAATCTGCAGTATTTCGCTCATACCCTTTATCTTGAGATTTCAATGACCATTTAAAACAATTTTCTTTCATCCAAATTGGCATTTTATTTAGAAATGGGGTTTTGTGTGAAGCTTTAAGATGCTCTCTATCTTTTTTATTTCCGCAATTAGAACAACTGCTCTATCCAACAATGGGCTTTAAACTTTAAAATTAAGATAGACTTCTAGTCTGAGATCTATAATATGCCCTCAAGGTGAAAATTACTCATTCTCTAATCTTTAATAGTTAAGTTTAAGTTACCTTTTTAAATATCAATAATCATAATAAAATAAAGTCCCTACAATCTCATGAATATAGTAGGCAGGTATCATAAGAAAGTGGAAAGGCAAGATTCTACCATTAGTGACAAAAAAAAAAATGTAGCTTTTCTGCTATGTTGAGAAATTATAGCTTCCTTCACTCCAAATTCCATTCTCTTTTCTCTCATCATTGCTTGTCTATAACTTTATTTGTAAAGAATAGTTTGTACAATTTCTTTTTTTTAATATATTTTTTTATTGATTTTGTACAGAGAAAAAGGGAGAGAGATAGAGAGTTAGAAACATCGATGAGAAAGAGTCATCGATCAGCTGCCTCTTGCACACCCCCTACTGGGGATGTGCCCACAACCAAGGTACATGCCCTTGACCGGAATCGAACCCGGGACCCTTCAGTCCCCAAGCTGACGCTCTATCCATTGAGCCAAACAGGTCTCGGCAGTTTGTACAATTTCTTGCATATATCAATAAAATTATTTACTTACTAGAGGCCCAATCCACGAAATTTGTGCACTTACTGGTAGCCATTTATATCCCTAAGGTGCCAGCAGTGTTCAATAAGGTATCATCTAAATTGGAATCACAATTGATGACATTCAACCAGGTAAGCAATAGACATCATAGCCAATAATTGGAATTAGTTAAGTACCAAGGGTTTGTCTAGAGAAAATTTTAAATAGTATTAATTTTATATTTATAAAAAATAGTCAAACAACTTGAACAGAAAGATAGATTAAAAATAAGAGAAATTTTCATTAGTAAGAAAATCATGGTATCCTATCAGAATATTCTGAGGTCACATTAAAACTTAACTCTAATTTTTTATGTATTAACATAGATGTTTAATAAAATATTAATGAAGTGAATAGGAATTCCTCACTAATGCTAAATGATATGTGTTAAATACCAAATAATTTAATGAGCATTTTTATGTTTATTACATCTCTGGAATCTTATATTAAGCCTATTAAATAGGTACAATTAGAAATTCCATTTTATAAATGAATAAACTAAAGCTCAGAAAGATTAAGTAACTTGCATAACTTTGCTCAGGAATGAAATGGTAGAGCTTGACCTCTAGCTTGGGTCAGACCAAATTCAGAGACTGCTAAAGAAAGATAGGCTTGAGATTTGCAAAGTAACAATGGTGGTTCTATCGGAGAAGTAGAATTAAGGAGTGGATTAAAAGGAGCAGTTGTCATTTTTTATAATCTCCACTATTTAAATTTTATAGTAAATATGCATTATTTCAAAAAAATAGAAAGCACATATCCATTAAATAGAAAATAAATGTATCCATTAAAAATAATTGTAAGGAAAAACTCTTATGTGCTTTACATCTTGGAAGAGAGTGACTTAGAGCAGTTCCCCAGGCCCTGGAAATTGGTTTCTTTTTCTAGGGTTAACTTTAAGAATGCTTCTTAGAGGAAAAGCATCTCTCATAAGTTATAGGTATGGTTCTGCTCTGAAGTGAGAATGAAATGACAGATGGGTCATGTGCAACATCCAGTGAGAAGACCAGAAAAGAAACTGCAAAAGTGAAACAGGTAAGTAGATTAAAATGTGAGATCAATAAAGAGTCTGAGCACATAGAAACTAAGATGGCAGAGACAAGATGAGGCTGAAAGAAGGTCCAAACTTTTTACAGAGCAACTAGTGAGATCTTTAGATAAGACGAGTCCAAATTGCCACTCAAGATGGCTATCTGAAGATTCTGAGGAGCAAAGCTTGGACACTATCAGACACTAGATATCCCCAACAAGACAGCTTGGAGTCCATCACTAATTACTTTTATTCCTTCACTTTCCACTTCCCTGGCCTCCTACATGTGACACTATCTGGCGGCTATTTAACTAGGATATGGAACAGACCCAGTTCTCTGACAGAGGTATTACCCTAAGGTGAATATATGTGAGACTTTAAATTCTTTCAAATTCTTGCTATCTTAGGGGCAATTTGTAGGATAATAACTTGTATTTACAAAGTGCTATATTCCAAGTAATTCAAACATTGAAAACATCTGGTTTGTTCCCCCTCTTCTACAATGAATAAAGAGG